TGCCACAGTCCAGCACCCACGGTAAACGCCGTCTTTTCTCCATCTTCTGGTGCCATTTCAACCTGCCAGTAACCGCTCTTCAAATCCAGTCGAAAATATCTGTGATCCAGCCAATGTATCCAGGGTGTCATCGATCCTAGACAGAGGGTAGCTGTTCTTCTTCGTCACGTGGTTTTGCTGATCCATCCAGAGGAAGACCATGGACTGTTGGATGGTTCGATCACCCCACAATTTTATCAGCTTCCTCTCGCAGCCTTCTTCTCCAAAACGATTCCTTTCTTTAAGACATTCAATACTCTTACAGGCACTTCTTTTCCGACACCTATTAAAGTCTTTTCTACTACAATTCCTCGACCGACCTCTTTGTCATCAATTCTTGGCTTTATGAGCATTATAAATCCATCTTCTGATTTACAATCCAAAAAAGCCTTCAATATCATCTCGCTATGTTCCGGTATCAAAGCATCTTCAAACATTACACGAATATTCGTTTCTTTCGATCGATGTAACACGTAACACCCTCAATATTCCTTGTTAAAAGTTCAGTTCAAATCCTATGGAGTTCATAATGTCCATGCCTACAATAAATTTATCTTCAATGTCTGCTAATAATGCTCGATGTTTAAATTTTGTGTTTCCTATGACCATATTGATGTCCACTTCTCCAAGAACAGTAGCTGTATCTCCTGTTGCAGTACCTACGTAGTCGCCGATTGGTATATTTTATCTTTGACATTTTGACAATATCTGGCCTAATAATTATCTTCGTCGCACCTGTATCCAGCAGCAGCAGATGTAATTTTCCATTAATAAAACCATCCACAAAAAAAACAGAGGACTGATGTAGACGAGATCGAGACATTCGATATCTTTTAGGGCACGTTGGTATCAGTTTGAAAGTGCCCCCTTTTCTTCGACCCTACCTAGTTTTCCAAGGAGACGAAGTCGACACCACCTTGCTTTCTCTGCAACGACTTCGTATATGTCCTAGCTTTCCACATCTCCAACACCGGATTTCTCTTGTAAATTTTCTCTAAGAACTTGCCTGATTGCTTCAATTATACTGGGTTACTCCTCTTTCTCTTTCTCGACTCTCCTTATTCTAGGCTGGCTCCTGCAAGTCTGCTTTACCGCCTCGAATTCCAAAGTTTGAGCCAATGCAACAACCAGGTGGCTCGGACGAGCCAGTGTTAGAGCCTGTCTTGTTTCGTTGTTTCGAAGTATATCCAATAAGGCTTGAACCGCTAATCGTTTCATAATGGTTGTAGTAGCTGGATATGCTAGCCGGACCAAGCGTGCAATATCAGCCTCGAATTCTTGCGAAGTCTCGTTTGATTTCTGGCAAAGATTCTTCAGTTGTGAATGGTATACATGTTCCAGATGTGTCTGGCCATATCGCAGTTCCAGGTGTTTTACCAACGCTTCATAATCTTCTTGTTCGTTGGGAGAAAGTGTCTGCAAGATATCTGTTGCATCTCCCAGTAAAGCCAGAGCTTTTCTTCTGGTAGCCAGCTATTTGCTTTTGCTGCTGCCTCAAACTGACGGATGTATTTGGTTCAAGAAGTTTTTCCATCCGGACTCGGCTCCCCTCCGGCACTGTTCCTGGTTCCGCCAGCATCATGGGTCGTTTTACAGCTGTCAGTTTACTATTTATTTCTCTAATTTTGACTTCCAATTTCTCGTTCAATTTTTTTTCTCTCGTATCCAATTTCCTGTTTATTTCATTTAATTCAACTTTCTGTCCACTTTCTCTTCTAATTCTATACTTACGTCGCGACGTAACTTAACGACGCGTCGTTAACTTTCTGCCCCACTTTCTCTTCTAATTCAAATGCAGATATAAACGAAACCCTGCTTAAAATACCCCATAGAGACCTATGCAAAATAATCTATCGGGCGGTACCGGATTCAATATGTGTATTCGTCCATGTTTTTTTTCCGGATAAGGCCAGATAGAAAATTTATAGGAAATTACCTATAGGCACACCATAACTTTTACATTTTCCCTATTGAGACCGATAGCAAATAACTCAATGAAGGATATATAGGGATATCCCTATAGAGCAACCATAAAACATTTGTCAAAATTTTATTAAAACCTATAGAGGTCTATGGGGGAAAACTAATTTCTACATTTATGTGTATTTTTCCCATTGAAACCAATAGCAAATAAATCAAGGGCATCCTATACATACCGATACACCCTACAGAAACACCATACATGCCGATACAAATGTCTATCGGTTTGAACAGGGTCTCTATGGGGTATTTTAAGCACGGAACGCAGTAGAGCCGGATGATTGCGGGGGTGCACTATCCTGGTGAAACCGTATGAAAGCAGACGTTCGCGGGTAAAAGCATATGTTCGCGGATAAAAGCAGATGTTTGCGGGTAAAACAGGACAAAATCAGACCTTTGCGGATGAAAGCAGATTAATTGTGCTTTCATCCGCAAACGCGAAAGCAGGTATTTGCAGAAAAAATCGGGTGAATGCAGATATAAAATTAAATTGAGGTATTTGCGGATGAAACCAGATGCAGACATAGAACTAAGTAGATAAAACCCGACGTTCGCGGATATATTTATACCCAGATAAAAACCGACATAGCGGGTAAAGATATATCGGATAAAACAGATATGAATGGACATAAAACTAGCTTGTTTTTTAACCGCAATCATTCGATATTACCCGTCTTTATAAGCAAGGTCGTTAGAATTTTCCAGAATGTTCTGTTTAAAATGACCTTTTAAATTTTGCAACAATAAATGGATATCACCCGAACCTTCAAATAAATACGTATCTGGATTTTCACCCTCTTGTTCCAACGATTCTCGAAGCCGCTGCTGCAACACATTCTTTTTTCCAGTTGTTTCGCATCCCCTTTCTTCCAGCTTCTTCGCTTAATGTCCGCCACACTCAAATCCATTAACGAAACCATTTTTGCGAAGTTTCACACTAACCGCACTGACACCAATTGTAACGTTTTTATCGGTTTATTAACAAACTAAACGATTTATTTTATAACTTAAATATAATTAAAACAATAAAAAACTATAAAAGTAACTAATCATTAACTACTAATTATTTATATATCACTAGTGTACAAAAGTCTATTTATTTGCACGTATATTTATTTTATTTCTTCGCGAGTACCAAAACTTGACTAACTAATCGATGCTCCGCTGTGCCTTATATATTCAGTGCCTACGTGACCCACTTCACCCAAGCACCTCCTCAAACTTTCCAATAAGTTCCACACCGCTCTCGATCGCTCAAGCGTTGACTCACCGGCGATGACTCATCGGCGATTAGTCACCAAGGACATTCCGAGATCCAGAGAGGTACTCGTTACAATAACAATAATATTACAAAATATTTCAAAGAAATAATAAAAATTTAAAATGGTATAAAATCTGTATAATTTGGATTTTTTAAATGAAATTTGAAATTTGTCGATAAACTATAATAAATAAAAAATTGCACCAGTTAAATTTATATTATATTTTTTGGGGGCCCCATGGGGCCGGTACGGTCGAGCAAAAAGTTATCTTTTTTTCGAAAACTTTAATTTAAATTCTGCTTGCGCAGAACTTGTTTATTTTAGGTCATTATAATATATATAAACTCATATAAATTTGGTGTGAGTCTAATAATTGAGATATCGGTATACTCAAAATCCACCAGCCGCCACTGCCGGAAATAACGTTAATATATTTCAGGGGGTGATTCTAGACGTAAAAATAGATAAAAATAGAATAAAGAAAAAGTTGCTATAAGCATATTGTCGAAAATGCCTCTTGGGGGCGCTATATGCATTTTAAACTTCTACGCAAAATCAGGTTTTTATTAATTATTATTATTATTATTTTATTAATTATTAAACGGATACCTAATCGTTTTGTGCGAATTAGGGCAAAAATATTGATGCTTTATTTCTGGGATATTTTTGGGCAAAAAATTATCTAGTGGTGTCAAATCGGATAAATGATTATCATAGGCGTGCGAAACAGGGAAAAAAATCCCTATAATTTTTTGAATTTACCATAATCCACAAATTTAAATTTGACATTTCGATCACAGCCTTTATAGAATAAGGTTTATTTTTTACAAAAGAGGAGTAAAATGGTTGTTCTTCGCACTTTAAGGCCTCATTTGAGGCTTACTTGCAAGTGCCTCTGTAAGAAACACAACGTTTAATCTTTATTAATAATTATTAATTAACAGCACAAACCCAAAGCACCAGATTTGTAAATAACATAAAAATGGTCGCTGTTTGAGTCTGTGCAGTGGTGCAATGATTTTTACTATACGCGAAAACAAGATAGAACAGACCTTGTTGTGTGGATTGTGGGTATACCCATAGAGAAACAAACTCTATAGATATACCTGTTTATAAACATTTTCTTAAATATGCTATAAAATGATTTACTCAGATTAGATAATAAAATTACGAAATTTAGACAAAAATTGCAAACTTACGTTAACAAACACCCAAGATTCAAATGTAATCATTCTAATTATACAAAAACAGGATTTTAAAATTTGAAAATTTAGAGATGTCAATTATTAATTATACTTATACAGAGGATTAAATTTTTGATTTTTTTTTTAATTTTAACCAAGGACCTTTTAAACTATAAAAATCGATGTAATAAAATCCAATAAAAAAAATAAATATATATATCTATTGGAATACTTATTGCAACCACATATAAATAATATTTATTATATATGCGATGCGAACAAAGATAATTATGCAATTGCATTTAGTAGTTCAAATGTATTATCTTAGATAATACATTTAAACTATTAAATGCAAAATTGACGCACACGCCGAATCCTTAAATCAAATTTTAGTTTTAAATAAACCTAGGTATACAGAATACCAAGAACACGATATTTAGAGTAGTAGTAGAATAGTATTCTATATATTAGATAAAGAGAATACTCTACTTTATTTACATTTATATTGACATTTAAAATTCAGGTAGTGGCACCACTGGGATGACATTCAAAAATGGCATCCCGCGAAGAATGGTGCGCTGACAAAATAACAAAGCTCTTAAACGAAGAATTGCGTATTACAACTTTGAATGAAATTAAAGACCATTTCACATCTGTTCCTCAAGATGAGGCAGCAAGAACAGCCAATATCCTTCAGCTACCTTTGGTGTTTGATTGCCTGAACAATTCCAACACGTAAGTTAACCTAGAAAATGCTGTGTCAACATTGTCAACAATAAGGTAATTTTTAGGGAACAAGTCGATTTGGCTTGCGAGGTTCTTTCGCTATGTATGAACAACCTAAATTTAGGTGAGAGCACAAGCAAATATGGAGTTTCCCTTGAAAGAGCTCTAACTCACCCTTACGCCTCTGTAAAATTAATGTCTTTGACTGAAATTGAAAGAAGTCTGACTGCAGAGCAAGTTATTAATGAGCTTTGCCACAGAAAAACACTGGTAATAAATATTGTAAGATGTTTAGAAGGTGATGACCTGGCAGTTGTAAAAAAATCATCTACTATATTAACCAAGATAGCCACCACAGAAATGGGTATTAATTTACTTGTATCCAGTGATATTTTGGTTGTTATCTATGAAGTTATGACTGCATCTGAAGTTATTCGCTTGAGAGTTTATGAGGTAATTAAATTTTATGTATTTTGAGGGACATTCTGGAAGAAAATTTAAATATGTGTCCTGTCTAAGGCTGCAAGTATGTTAAAGCTCTGATAAATGATAGTGCTGTTGCCATTGTTACTAGCAATGAAATGTGTTTTAAAAGACATTGCATTGCTAGTATTGATAGCAATGACTCTTTTACCATTTATCACAGCTCCAACATACTTGTGGCCTTCTCATACCTAGCTAAAGTTGACATTTATAAGGCAGTTATATTTATTTAAAGTTGCCATTCTTAAGACAGTTACTGTTACTGTGGGTTTACTTAAGGTAAGTGAGGCCTGTCAGAGCAAAGTCAACAATCTCCCGTCAGACTAAAACTGAGTAAATTGAGATAATTGATTTTGGTATTTTAAATTCTAGATTTGTAATTTTTTTGTATATTATATTGAAATATTGTTGTTGTTAGTCTAGTAGCTAACTACAAGGTCTCCAGGATGCATAGTATAGGTGGAATCTATAATTATAAATTGGAGATTGCTGACTTTGATATGAATTGCTGGAGACTGCTTATTTTGTTGTAAACGTTTAAGAAGATTTAGAAAAATACACAAAAAAATAATTGTATTTTTCTCCCTTTAATGGTTATAAAATTTAACTATACAATCAATGTGGGAAAATTCTGAATTGGACCACATAAATCTGGAGTTTCTTCTAAATCAGGGACCAGGTTGCCTCATGCAAAAAAGTTTTTATAGTACAACAACTCATCATCTCCTTCCCACTTTGCCCCGTAATGTTTTACTTGCAATGTTTTGACATTATCAGCCTTTTCTTGCTTTACCTTTTCGTCTTATTATGGTATAATAGCACAAAATAAACAAGATAACTTTTTTTATAATTCTTAAAACAATCAAACGTAGATTTACCTATTTTAAATATATTTTTTAAGTGCAATTTACTGCAATAGAACTTAACAGTATGTACCAGTAAAAAAAACATAAAATTAAATCTCTAAAATACGTTATAACATCAAATGTTAGGATATCAGGTGACACAAATTACTAATTTCTAATGGTGGAATTGGAGATTGTATACTTTGCTGTAAATCTATCAGTGGAGATTGTCGACTTTGCACTAAATGTCATTTTTAAAATAGGATTTAAGGCAGGATTTAGCTCCTTTTGCAGCACATAAACTTTATAATCTTATAGATAATTAGTTGAAGTATAGTCTCCGCCAAAAATCTAATTTTTGACCAAAAGTGGAGATTGTCGGTTTTGCTATGACAGGCCTCAAGTATAACTGTGTTAAGTAAACCCACATTGCATCCTTGAGTTCAGATTTTTCTCAGTTTACCTTATGCCATGATTTGTGTATCCTGTGATATGGGGTCACACCATTGGTGTGAGAAATAAATCATGTTCAAAATTAAGTTCCATGTGACAGTTCATATGCAGTGTTATTTAAAATCTAAAAAATGAGTTGTAAAAACAAATAAATTCTACTAGGTACAAACAAAAAATTATTTAAAAAAAGGTATAAGAACAAAAAATAAAGCAACAGAAAACAGTATGTTCAATGCACCGAAAGTCTAAAGGAAAAAGCAGAAAACAAAGAAGAAAACCATAGAAGGTAGAAGGTTTGTCTAATTATTTTAAAAAATAACTTATAATAAATAACTTAATACCTTACCTTAAAAACGACATTATTGGTAGTCAACAAATAAAAAAGGTATGGGAACAAAAAATAAAGCCTGAAATATGTTGAATGCAGCAAAAGTCTATTGAGAAAAGCAGAAAACAAAAAAAAAAGAAAATATCTTATAATAAATAATTATGATTATTATTAAGTTAACTTAAGTAATACCTAGGTCTAGAACATCTTGCATGATTTTTATTAATAATTTGTTTTAAAAATTAAACTGGTAGTAACCAAATAAATAAAACCAAATATCCCTAGATAATCCAATGTTTGTAATCCAGTGTTGCCAGATGGAGTCTTGTCATATTTGTTATAAGATACATACACCTTATTTATTATTTATTTATTTATTATTTGTTATATGAGTCTTGTGTTGTCTGCTGAAGCACGCGTAAATAAAACTAACAATATCGCTACTAAACGGGCATTAAAAAAATTAATATATCTTTTAAAGGAATTAAAATAACAAAACAAGACTAACTGGACTGAAAAGATGAAGGTGGGGACTACATTTCCTGAAAGTTTCAGATTTTTATTTTTTCCTCAACATAATGATTTCTGAGGGCAAAATTGGCTAATTTTGAGAATTATCAATTTTCAATATTTTTTTTAATAAAGAAATTGATAGTCTAGAAACTTAAAATAATAGTTACGTTTTCTATTGTATAAGTACTTTATACCTGAAAAAAATGAACCTTCTAAATTCAGTAGAATAGGCACAGGAGCCAGACAAAAATCACAAAAATTGGCAAATTATCATGAATCTTTAGTGGTTTGCCATTCTTTTATGGGATTAACTAATTGGATAATAATAATTTATATCGAAAACACACTTACTGGACAGTAAAACAAAATCAAAATTATTTCAATATTTGTCCCAGAAAAAAAAATCTGGCCCACTATAAGAGAGTAAGAAATTGACACTATTTCAGACTTCTAAGGAGTGCCAAATAAAAGTAAAGCAACAAAAAATTAAAACGGCAACGGATTTTCATATTTGACACCTAAAAGATCATCCTCAATTTTTTTCATCAAAATAAAAAATCACGCAGCGCACCCCATTTGGTGTTTTTATTTGGAATGACTCACTGGTATGAAATATTTAACAAAGTGACTAGAAGTACACCGGGAGTACCGCCATTAAACGTACACCGGGTGGAAAAAAATCCTTATTTAGCATATTTGTCAATTGTATAATATTAAATGGTCGCTCAATGGGGCGGGGGGGCCAATGGGGCGGGGTCGGTTGGGTTGGGTTGTTGAGTTTGGGTTGGTTTGGGTAATACATACTGACATTTCATTAATTTTGTTGTTAATTGTATTTTAATCACTTAATTAAATTTTAATCAATGTTTATACAACTTGAAAGTTACCTTAATAATTACATAATTAATATCAAGAGTTAACCAGCTGTTTACCAACTGTTATACAACTGGGCCTTTGTGTACCAATTTAATCTCAACCAGAGATAATGATCAACTAATAAATAAATAAATCCGAAATTTTACCATCAGCTGGTATGGAAACACGCATGCGCACAAACCTGATGTACGTTTAATGCCCGTACTCCCGGTGTACTTCTAGTCACGGCGAATATTTAAAGGTTAAGAAAAATATATGGATGATTGTAAGAATAAATTGTGTGTGATGATAAGTAATTTTGAACAATGTTAAATGCATTGAAAAGAAATGAAGAAAGAAAATGGACATAATAATAAATAAACAAGAATACATCGAAAAAACAAGTGTGTAAAAAAATTAAAGTGATACAGTGAAAATTGTGAAAGAAATTAGACATAAAATAATATTAAAATGAACTATGAACAATAATAAAATAAAATAAATGATTCAAGGGATGAGTTGTACTCAGATTCTCTTAATTGAGACCCTTGATCATATTAAATTTTCAAAAAACATAATGAGCTGGCCAAATAGCTTTTAATTAAGCTAAAGGCAATTACCCTTGAACACAGTGCTTCTGTGTTAAGATTGAAGAAAAAGTGTTGCCGGATATTCTAGACAAGAATGACAGATTGATAATTTAAACTGTTCAGTGAAAGTTAACAAAAATCATATGGCACTTCTACAGACATAAGTGCATACGGGAAAAAAATCATTAATTTTACAATGTTTACAATTATAAGATGACAATAAGAAATCGATGATTTTTTTCTCGTATGCACTTATTCCTTTAGTAGTATATACATTTTTGTTAACATTCACAACACAGTCTTAACAACTTTAATAATTTTTTACTTGAAAACCAGATGGTCAGTCTTTATCAAAAATTTGTAAATGTAGACTGTATTTTCTGGCAGTTCCACATCTATCTATACACTAGGGTGAGCCAAAAAAAGTAACCTATCGAATGTATGGGTTAAAATGAACCTATATACCGAGAAAAAAATTCTTTTTTTTTGCTCAATTTTAAAAGGTGTCGGTGAGCATTCATTTTCCATTTAAATAACACATCAAAAATCTTTTTTTATTAAAAATACCATAACTTTTGAACCGTTTAGGATAAAATATTTTACGTCGCGGATTCTTGTAGAGCATAGAAATTCCTAAAAAATCTATCCCAGGATTATTTTTTTCAATTCAAAAATTCGTATATTTGAAAGCTTTGAAAAGTGAAAAAAATCACTAAAACTGAATATACGAATTTTTTATTGAAAAAAATAATCCTGGGATAGATTTTTTAGGAAATTTACGCTCTGCAAGAATCCGTAACGTACAAAATTTTATCCTAAACGGTTCAAAAGTTATGGTATTTTTAATGAAAAAAGATTTGTTTACGTGTTATTTAAATGGGAAACTTTGAATGCTCACCAACACCTTTTAAAATTGTGCAAAAAATCCTGCCTTGCAGAGAAATTTTTTCCTGGTAAGTATATAGGTTCATTTTAACCCATAGATTCGATAGGTTAGCTTTTTTGGCTTACCAGAGTATACACTGAATTGTCAAACTAACTGGGATAACAGGGGATCACATATAGTTTTTTTTTATTTGAGGTTATTTTAGACATCTCTTGACTACGACTTTAAATTCAATCAAAACATATTAATGCATCAATTAGTAATAGTATATTACACTACAAGGGCAGAAAGTGTGAGATTCCTGCACTGCGCGCCATGATGCCCGAGGCGAAGCCGAGGGCATCATGGCGCGCAGTTCAGGGCTCTCACACTTTCTGCCCGTGTAGTGTATACTATTTTTCTTACTACCTCGGCCGAAAATACGGGAAAAAATTAAATGTGTATATCGAAACATATTGATGCCTGCCCAAATTTTGAGGTTATATTAGTGTCGTAATCAG